CGCGGCTGTGGAGGGGGCCAGCTTCAACACTGGCGCGGGGACGTAGGACGAGACCCGCGCCAGCGCCCACGCGCTGTGGGACCGCCACACGGCCCCGCCATGCGGCGCCCATCGAAGCGTTTGAGAAGCGGCAGCAGGTCGCAGGTCAGTGGCGGTCGAAGAAGGAAAAATGCCATAAGCAGAAACTGTTGGTGCTCAGCGCGGATTTCTTGGATCCGCGCCGGGCCCCCCCCGGCGGCGCCTCTGGCGCCGCCCCTGGCGCGCTCCGCGCGCTGCGGAGGGGGGCCCAGCGCAGATGTAAGAAGCCCGCGCGGAGCGCCAAGAGACTATGCTTATGGCGCTGTTTCTTCTTCGGGGACCAGCCTGCTGGGCGCCCGACCTGTCTCACTAATAGTTCTCCTGCGCGCCCGTGCGGGCGCGGACGGCCAGATTCAGGAGGAAAAGAAACACACAGACACAATTAATCCTCGATTCCCCAGAAAATGTCGAAAAATATGGCAAGTGGGGGGGAAGACAGAAACCCAGAAAATATTAGAAAATATAGGTTTAAAAAAATGTGTGTACTTATTTGTGTGTCCTGGGGCCCCTTCACAGGTGTCGATACCGAGCTCGCGCGCCGCGCGGCCGGCGTGGTTCCGCCAGCTATGGCGCCGGGCGAGGCCACCCGCGACGCCCCCCGGCGGCAGGTGCGCCAAGCGATGCCGAGGGGATCACCAGATCGGGGGCGGAAAAGAGGGGGGTGATGACTAAGTGGGGGGGGTGGATATCCTGGCGGGGGCCATGATACTTCCGCAGATTTTACGGCGCCTCTTCTTGTTTCGTTACGTCCCTGGCCCCCCCGCTGGGCCGCGCACATGCCGCCGGTCATGATTTGCACCCCCCCTCTTGGACCCCCCTCTTGGCCGCTCCCGACCAGACGCGCCTGGGCCATCACGGGGGAAACGAGCAATGGCATCAACATAAAAACCCGGAGGTCCGCGCGGATTCCTGGGATCGGCGCTGGACACGCCTCCCTGGCGCGCTCCGCGCGCCAGGGGCGGCGCCGGAGGCGCCGCCAGGGAGGCTCCAGCGCCGATCCGAGGAGTCCGCGCGGACCTCCGAGTTTTCATATTCATGTCAGTTCAGGAGGGGAAAAAACGCACAGACACAATTAATCGACGATTTCCAGGAACATATGGGAAAACATGGGAAGTGGGGGAGCAGACGGAAACCCAGAAGAAATATGGGAACATGCGGGGAATCCATGCATTTGTGTGTGTACTTGTTTTTGTGTGTCCCAGGGCCCCTTCAATGCTCATGTCAGTGTCCCTTCCCCTGCCTCAGTGCTCATGTCAGTGTCCCTGCCCCATGCCTCAGGCCAGCCGCGGGCCCACCCGCGCGAGGAGCTGGGCGCACAGGTTGCCCCCCCCCCCCCCCCCTCCGCCCCCGAGTGGGGCCGAGCCGCGGGCCCCTCTGCCCGGAGCGATCCCTCGGCACGCAGTCCCGCTTCGCCACGCGGCCTCGCCTCGCCGGGGCGCCGTGTGGCTCGTACAGTGAGCGGCTTGAATAAGGAACACTTACTTTTCAGAAGGAGTTTGGCATGCATTATTTACAGTTCCTTAGGCGTTATGTGTTATTTCTCGCTCCTTACGCGTTATTCCTTGGGATAAAAAAGGGGGCTTCGTTCCTTATGTATCGTTCCTTAGGTCAGGCCGATGACTGTATGCTTTCTGCTGCGCGCGAGGGAGATCTCGAGGAGCATCGATCTGGCCTGCATGTGCTATGGCTCTTCCACTCCATCCTCAACTGCTTCTCAGGGTTCCGCTGCGATGTCATCAGCGGTCTCGGCATCCCTGCAGTCTCCTGCACGGTTGGGCAGCATACTCTGTTTGGCTGGTCATGTGTCTGCGTTCTCCTTGCACGGTGTTCAGGAAATGAATGGCAGTGCTCTTCCCGCTGCTATCCTGCGCCGTTTATGCGATCTTGCGTTGTGTACTGGACGGTTTGCTGGGTCTCCTTTTTTCGTAAGGTCATATCTGCACGTATCGAATTTGTTTCTCCACGGGCGCAAGAGCGACAAGTTGTGTTGATTATATGTTTTTTGTTTCAGATTCATGTCCGCGGTCTCCATGGTCACCGATCTAATATACACCTGATCTGGCTCTTCTACACTCAACTACTGTCAACTTCCTGCTTCGATGCCATCGACATTCTCGGCATCAGTGTGGTCGGTCGCACGGTTGGTCTGGATACTCCTCCCGTCGGTCATTCCGTGTTGTCCGTGCGCGGTACACACGACATCCACTGCAGTGTCATTCCCCTTGTTCTCCTGCGTCGTGTTTGTGCGACACGGCGTGGTGGACTCGACGTCCCCGGGCGGCCGCCCAGAGCCCCAGCCCAGAAGGGGCCCCGAAGACGCGCGTGCCCGCGCGCCGTCCATGGCCCACGTCGTGTATAGCCTGTCGGGGTCCTGACCGGCATGGCCCAGGGGCATGGCCCAGGGGCGTGGCGCAGGGGCATGGCCCAGGGGCATGGCGCAGGGGCAGGGCAGCCGGTCAGGGCCACGACGCAGGGGCATGGCCCATGCGACGAAGGGGCCCGGCCGCGCGCGCACCCGCCAGTCTCCCCCGTGGAAGCGCCCGCGGCCGGGCGAGGCCCCGGCCACGGAGGGCCAGCAAGGCGCCCAGCGAGCGGCTCGCGCGGCGTGGCGCCGGGCGCGGCCGCCGCCGCGGAGGGGGTCCGCCCGGAGGGGCAGGGCTCGGCTCGGAGGCCCGCGGCGGCGCGGAGCTGCAGCGCCATGGAGAGGCCCCCCCCCCGTCGACGCGGGTCGAGGCGCAAAAAAAGCGCCCGCCCCACCCACAAGAAGGGGGAGGGAGAGAGGAAGGAGGGGAGGAGGAGGAGGAGGAGGAGGAGGAGGAGGAGGAGGAGGAGGAGGAGGAGGGAGGCAAGGGAGGGAAACAGGCTGGGCACGCTCGCACCATGCCTGAAAGCCCCATCCTACCCGTCTCTTCCCGTGGCGATATTGTTTCGATACGCCGATTGGGGAGGTCTTTGAGGATCTCCAAGGATTACCCATGGTGAGGTGCGCAAGGTGAGGAGGAGGTCGCGGATTAATAGTAGGATTGGCAGCAGGAAGATGAGAAGGAGGAGGAGGAGGAGGAGGACCATTGTAAGCCCAAGACTCATCAACGATATTGGTATAAAACCACTCTCCAAGCTCCCTCTTCATAGGCCCCTACCAGGATTTGTTTTCACTGCAGGCAGTGCCCCGTTGGAAAGCAACTGTTTGAACATCCTGAACTGCGCCAGGACACCATTCCTAGATTTTTATCGCCCCGAGTCACCGTGACTGTTGCGTCTAGATGATACTGAACTGCGTCAGAACACCATTCCTAGGAATTCAACACCACGAACCAGCGCAACTGCTGCGCCCTAACAGCCCGACGTCTTCCCAAAATACAATTTTGGGGACGTTCGCCGTGATAATCTTCAACCCGCTGTAAACTCTTAAAACGAATATGCGCGGACCGCCCTCCATCCGTGACACTCTTGCGAGTTCTGGTATGACGAATGCGCGCGGCGCTAGGGCGGGAGCCACATTTTGAAGACCACCCGCCCTCCATCCGTGACACTCTTGCCAGATTGTTATGACGAATGTGTGCGGCGCTACGGCGAGAGCCACATTTTGAACACGACTTGTCCTCAATCCGTCAAGCCGGCTTCATGTTTTGACTACGGAAGGCGAGAGCCACCTGTTTAAAAGTGACTCGTTTTCAATACGTGAGATCTTGCAATGTTCTATCACGGATGTGCACGGCGCTAAGGAGAGAGCCGCATGTTGAAAGCGACCCGCCTTCCATGTGTGAAATTGCTGCAACTTCTAAGCTTCAAGATCATAAGTTGTGAGGAAGTCTCAGGCGAACCGCCCTGCCCGCCCTTCCAACTGGCCTCGGGATGTGACTGGAGGAGTTACTCATAAGTAAAGGATTGGGGGAGGATGGGGAGGAGGAGAAGGAAGAGCAGAGGAGGAGGAGGAGGAGGAGGAGGAGGAGGAGGAGGACTGGAGAGCAGGAGGAGGAGCAGCAGCAGGAGCAGGAGGCGGTGGATGGGAAAGGAGGGGGAAGGCACCGACCAGGAAAGAATTGGATCCAGAAGTACGGCCCTCGCAAGGGGCCAACGCTTTGAGAGACCAAAGACACTTCGGAGCTCCCTGGTGAGACCGAGATGAGGCCAACGCTGCAGCGCGAACACTATTTTTAATCACTAGAGGCGCTCCGACGCTCCATTGTGATTTTAAACAGAGGCCAACGCTGCAGCGGAACCACTATTTCGAAAGCACGCGAAACGTTCTGGCTGGAAAAAGTGCGCACGTGAAATACCACATGTTGACGTCCTGCGTTTGTAGAGAACCATACGCGGGCGAGGCCAAGCCACAGAAGGACAGCGGCAGGGGAGAAAGGAGATTAGTGTTCACAATATTTCATCGTGAAGGGAAGGAGGAGGAATGATGATGATGCTGATGATGATGCTGATGATGATGCTGATGATGATGATGATGATGATGATGATGATGATGATGATGATGATGATGATGATGAGGATGATGATGATGAGGAGGAGGAGGAGGAGGAGGAGGAGGAGAAGCAGGAGGAGGTCGAAGAGGAGGAGGAGGAGGAGGAGGAGGAGGAGGAGGAGGACGAGGAGGAGGGAGTGGACCTCGGGCAACGCTTAGTTAGGGGGGGCTGGCTCAGGGCGGAAGGGGGGGGATGCATCGACCGCCAAAAGCCTACTCATCGCCGAAAGGGGGGGCCTGATAGCCCACCCCGCCCAGCAGGCGTGCGGATGCGCCCTCGGGGGCCGATGGCTGGCCTCTCGGCGATGTGTCGCCGATTCCCGCCCGATGGTCCCCCCCCTCCCCCCGAGGGTGGACCTGCCCGCAGCGCCTGCACCTCGGCGAGGAGAGTGGTCGCAGGGCGGAAGCAACAACAGCAGCAGCAGCAGCGAGGCCGGCCCCCCGCGAGGTGGACGAGCCCGCGCTGGCGCGCCTCCGGGAGCTCATCTTGGCCCTCACGCCCACGGTGCGGGCCGCGAGGGGAAAGTTCGGGGCTCAATGCAAATGGGGGTCAGTCAGAGCGCCGTGGCTTGCAGGATCCTGCAGGGCCAGGGTCGCACTGACCCGGGCTTGGGTATGCAGGATCCTGCAGAATCTTGCAGGATCCTGCGCGCTGACTCGGGCTTGGGTGCAGGATGTTGCAGGATCTTGCAGGATTCGGCAAGGCCTGACTGACCTGGGTCTGGATTGACCCGGGTCGTCTCGGCCCTCACGCCCACGGTGCGGGCCGCGAGGAGGAGGAAAGGAGGAGGAGGAGAAGGAGGAGGAGGAGGCGGAGGAGGAGGGGGAGGAGGAGGAGGAGGAGAGAGAGGGGAGGAGGGGGAGGAGGAGGATGAGAGGAGGAGGAGGAGGAGGAGAAGGAGGAGAAGGAGGAGGAGGAGCCCCCACTAGGGGTCACATGCACCTCCTGGAAACCGAGGCCCCAGGACCGAAGCCGTGCTCAGCTCGGAAGGCCTGGGCTGCTTGGAAGGGGGCTCGGGAGTGTCTCGGGGGTCCCGCTCTTCCTGCAGGAGGTGTGGCGCCTCCTGGAGGAGGTGGCGATTCCCCCCCCCCCCCCCCGGGGTGGCCCCTGCGGCCCCGGGCCGCGGGCGGAAGCCATTTCCGTGTCCACGGCCTCGCGGGCTGGGCCCCTCTTGGCCGCGAAAGCCCGGGGGCCAGGCCGCGAGGGCGCGGGCATGGGCACGTGCGCTTAATAGGTCGTGCGTGTCCCGCTGCGGGAGGAATCTCGAAGAATGGTCCAGGAATAGTCCGGGCACGATTTTTCGACCAGGTTCGATTCTTTTGAACGATCGCTTGTCTATGTTTAGATCGTCTTCGAAGGTCCGCCTGCAGGAGGACATGCCCGACGTAAACGTACGCCGCTCCGCCCCTCATCATGCGGGGCCTCCGCTTGAGCTGCGGCCGCGTGGGGCGGCCGTCCTTCGTGGGAGGGCGCGCGCTTTTGCGCAGCGGTGCCGGTTGCCATGTCTCGGGGTGGCATCTCGAGGTACATCGTAACAGCGGCGCAGATGTGACGCCTGGGGCGGGTCTGCGCTGCCGTTCATGATGCGAGGACCGACTGCACGTGAATTCATGCAGGCACCTTGGGCACCTCCCTTCGGGTTGTGTCGCCCAGGTTTTCTGTCCGGGCTCAAGAAAAAATTGGCGCAGCGACAGGGGGAGCCTGGCACGGGAGGCTGTGTTGCGGCACCGTCGATACGTCTCGGGTTCGTTCTGGTCCTCATCCTCCCCCGCCTCGTTGTTCCGTGACTTCCTTTCGGCTTCTCCCTTTGGTCCTCATCCTCTTCCTCTTTGTTTTGTGCGTTTCAAGCTCCGCCGCGCGATGCGGAAGTAGAGTCGCACGTGGCCGTCTGCGCATAGTTCCGGTTGCGCAGGCCCGTCGTCAAAGTGGAAGATGGTAATTTTGTTGTAGTCTTAGGGCAAGAAGGCAGTTCGACCGAGCCCCGGAAACTTTACTTTAGCGGCGCGCGAGATCTTCAGCGGCACTTGCCGGCGCCAGCGCCAGCCGGACAAGTAAGGCAGCAGGCACGAAAGATCTCGTCGCGGAGCTCTTGCACACTCATTCGCCGTACTGCCTTGAGGCTGTGCAACCAGGTGTTCGCTCCACGGCATCATCCCAGACGAATAGAAGCGCATTGCTTTCAAAATGTTGGAAAAGTTGGCAAGTGCCAGGAGAGGTTTCGGATTTCAGGCCTGCGCGCCTGCGGCTGTTCTACAAGCTGTTCTCCTACGTACCTGGTTGTGGGCAGGAATGGAGATTCTCTGGGCCGTGCGCAGCCCAAAAAAAAACTGCATGGTTTCCAGCCTGGCCGTCGCCTCGAGGAGCACGTGGTTTTTGCCATCATGGTGTTTCCGCAAACGTTTGCTTTACTATCTGCAAATTTGGACCATCAGTTTGGATTGGTCGAAGGCCTTTGACAGCGTGGCACGGGGCCCACTGTGGCAAGCACGCCGTGCTCATGGGGTGTCCGATCATATGGCTTCGTTCATTGGACAAGTCGTTGCGTATCAAGTGGATCCCATGGTTGTCGAGAGCATTTACATGCAACGATGCGTGTTCAATTTCCGCTAGCGTCCGCCAAGTTTGTGCATCAAGCGGAAACTTTGTCCACGTGCGCCATACAATGGGCAATGTCGTGATGAAAACTAAAGATTCGACATCTGGGAATGGATCTTGGAGATGGCGGAGAGCATTTGGCGAACCTGCGCGTCGCGGACGACTTGTTTCCATTCGCTTGCCTAGAAAAGGATGTGAGTTCCTTACTTGACACGCTCGTGGCGGAACTGCTCAATGTTTGGTTGGTTCTCGACGCCAAGAAGACCAAGGCACTGACCACAGTGTCACAAACCCCCTATCCACGGTCCGCACACCAGAAGCGTCGTCAATCATCGCGACCGACGGGGATTATGCTCATATGTGGTCGATTGCATGCTGACCACAGGAGGGGCATATTCCCGCTCTCTGGGGTTGAACGGCCACGTGCGATGTGCAGCCAAAACATGTTATACGAATCGCCGGATCATGTGCGACAGGTGAGCGTCCATTGCACAGAGTTTTGGACTGCTTAATTCCGGCATGTGGTACATGGCGTGTTTTGCGGCAAGCATCGCCCGACATGTTTAGACATCGTGATAACAATGTGTGATGATTCTGGCGCCTCGTACGACAGACCATTGGACCACCTCCGATTTTTGATCGGGATGCATAGTGTGTTTGGCACGAGCGTGCGCGCGAGTTCGTCGCACGCGCTGGCATTCGGACATGGGCAGAACAATGCATTGGCCGTCGGGCATCATTTTGCTTCTGGATCTCGCCACCCCGTTCGTAGGACTGCTCGCGAAACGGGCTGAGCTTGTTGCAGGTTGGGGGGCGTTTCGAGGAGGACATGTGGCAAGGGGCGCCTGGCGCTTGACATCTGCATTCGTCATGTCCTTTTTTTGAACGCCCGTGTTTGGCCTAATTCGTGTGCCTCCTTCTCCTCCCCGTCCTTCCCCTTCTCTCTCCAGATTGTGCGACGCATTGGACACTTGTTCGAGCCGTCGTGCGTGTCGAGTTCCGACGTCAGGATTCCGTCAACGTGTGGCACATCAAATGACTTGACATGTCGAGCCAGGGAATTCGTTGCACATCTTGAGCTCTGACACGTTGAAATTTCGAACGTGCCCACTGCACACTTTGAGCTCTGACACTTCGAAATCTTTAGCTCGTGCCACGTGCAACACAGACAACAAACAAACAAGCGTGCGCTGCGCAATCAGAAAAGGGAATGTGTAAATTTGGCGTTGAAGGGGTAGGAAGGCTATGTAGCGGACGAACAGGAGGATGAACAGGAGGACATGCAGGATGATGAGGAATGATGAAGAGTGAGGAAAACGAGCAGCCGCAGGAGCAGAAGCAGCAAGAGGAGCAGGAGGAGCAAGAGAGTCAGGGAAATGCGGAGGAGGGAAAAACAGGGGGACGGTAACAACGAGGAAACACCTCGGATTCACAAATATGGCATGCCCGCGCAGGGGCGACAACGCAAATCGAAACGCCAGAAGCAAAACGCCGACTCTGACAAGTGGCCAGCGCTGCAGCTGGCTTACCATCCTGGAAAGACCGATGGAATTCCGATCCCGGAAACACATTTGGAATCACAAGTTTGGATTTCCTGGTGCGTGGGAGCGAGAGCAATAGGTACGCGAGAGAGGCGGCGGTGCCGCCCGACAGCATCAGGGAGATAGGAGAGCAGTGCTCATATTGAGTGCAGTGGAGACCCATTTCAAGAAACACCCTGCTTGCCTCTAGAGTGCCCTCGGTTTCTTGGGTTTCGATGGTTTTGCTGTCAAAAGCGTGACGTCGACGGTCCCACAACAAAATCAGTGGACGTCCTGGGGTCTCAGGGTTGGGTTTCTTGTGGAAGGTATCTTGTGGACTGGCCTCCATTGTACATGTGAGGAAGGGGGTGGAGGTACGTAGCGGGCGGATTCAGACGGGGGCAGCGGGGAGCCACCAACGTGGGAAGATCGATTTGGGAGGTCCGGGAAAGCGCTGCTCTGGGCAATCTCTCGGACTGGTCCCCACAGACCCCCGACGTCATGATTTTTCCATTTCGTCGACCTCCCGAGGTCTCGCCCTATACCCCGGGACCCGGTGTTTCATCCCGAGTCGTTTTTGTTGACGGCTCGAGGGCCGGTGAGGGCCGCCAGAGGCCGAGAGCAGCGAAAAACTTCCCGTCATGATTTGTGTCCGTGCTCGCGGGCATTCTGGGCCAGGCGCGCTTCATCGCGACCTCCAGGGGCGAGGTCATCCTCCGCACGCTGATGCCGGCAGAGCCAGTCGGCCTGGACATGCCCGCATACGTGCCGACGCTCGCCAACAGGCGCCGCCCCTCGAGACGGAGGAGGAGGAGGAGGAGGAGGAGGAGGAGGAGGAGGAGGAGGAGGAGGGGGAGGAGGAGGGGGAGGAGGAGGGAGGAGGAGGAGGAGGAGGAGGAGGAGGAGGAGGAGGAGGAGGAGGAGGAGGAGGAGGAGGAGGAGGAGGAGAGGCAGCAGCAGAAGCAGAAGCAGCAGCCCCAGGGTTCCTGGGCGTCGCGCAGATGAATGACGACCGCAGGGTGTTGTTCACGGTTCTGGCCCCCGCGGGGTGGTTCTCGGTCTCCAGGGCAAGCAAGTAGCGACCCATGGCGAGGAAGCAGTGCCCCAGGGACGGGGTCAAAAGTTCGCGTCGTGAGACGTCACGGCGTCAGAGGTCAGTCGGATCCCCCGCGCCAAGTCATCTCAAAAGTTTCGGGATTACCGATGGGAATGGGAATCTGCGATGCTGCAGCTGACCAGGGAGGACGGCGAGCAGGAGGAGGGAGGATGGAGGAAGGAGGTGCAGCAAGGGCAGGGAGCATGTGAACGGGAAGCTTCCAGAGGGCACTCGAAATTGTTCCGCAGGCGTAGTGGGGGGAATCGCGTGTCAAGACCCCCGACGTCATGATTTTTTCATGGCGTCGACCCCCACAGGTCTCGACCTACTCCCCAGGACCGGTTTCTCATCTCGGGTCGTTTTCTGACGTTCCCGAGGCCCGGCAGGGGTCCCCAGAAGGCCGAGCATGGCGAAAAAACAGCCTCCCGTCGGGGTTCTGAGATAGGCGTATGGGGGGGGGGGGATCGCGCGGGAGTGCAGGGATGGGCCGTCCTTCTGGGGGCGTGCGGGGGCGGGGGGGTAGGGATCGCTCGTCACCGGGCGCGTCCCACCACTCGCAAAGTGCCTGCTCGCAAACGTCCGACAAGCACACACGCCTGCTTTGATGCAGTTTCTCGCAGCAGGCCCCCCGCGGGGGATCCAGGCCACTTGCGAGCAATTAGTTACTCTGCGAGCAGTGGAGCGCGCTCGTCTAGCCTGAGAGGGGGCTGGCCCGGTGGGCGTGGGTGCGGCCGACGGAGAGCGGGCCGTCGGGGGCGGGGTGCCGCGGGGGGTCCTCTTATACGCACGGCGAGCGCAGCCTGGAGCATCGGCACGGGGCGGCGCTGGAGCGGGAGGGCGTCGGAGGACGAACAAAAACACGCAAGAAGAAGAAGAAGAACAACAACAACAACAACAACAACAACAACAACAACAACAACAACAGCAACAACAACAACAACAACATCAACAACAACAACAATCATTGTAAGACTGTTCGCTCTCGTCTGCTCGCGTGTCATTCAGTATGCATATCCCAAACCCTGGATACCCGCCCCCTTCGTCTTCGAGCGTGCCCCCTTTTGGGGGAGTGTATTCATTCCCTGCCACGCGTGGTTGGTGAAGCCTTTGGAAACGAAGGGTAACAGATAACGGGGGGGAATGAGGACAAAGGGATCGGAGGAAGGGAGGGGAGGGGCCAGAAGGAGGGATGACGATGATTTGCGCTGCGAGTGGCGGTTCAGCTTGCGCCATGGCTTGCGTCAGCCACTCCAACACAGGTTAACAATAAGTTTCGCCATGGGTCGCGCCATAAACAGAGCCACGTACCACCCCCTTGAAAGAACATATCGTGAATACCCCCACGAGGGGACGTACAGCTGCGAGCTGGTGTCAAAACAAATTTCGTGGAACCCTGAAAAAAAGCGGGATGTTGAGAGAGTGGGGCGGAAAGATAGTGAGAATTGCAACCGTGTCGAGAGGAGCGCGGGGATGTGGAGTGGATTGGGATGGAGTGGACAAGAGTAGGGTCTCAGGAGGAGGGGCGGCAACGAGTGAAGAAGAGGAACCGGGAGGAGTGCGGAAGAGCGGGGGGCGCACGGAGGTATCCGGAGGGGGGATTGGGAATAATTTTGGAAAAATGCGGGATGCGAGCGAGGGGGCCACAATGGGCGACAGCGGGGCCACGAAGGGCATGCATATGGGGCCACGACGGGCGCGAACGAGCGGGGGCCACGTAGGGCATTCGTATATGGGGCCACACAGGGCGACAGCGGGGCGACTGAGGGCAGCAAAGGGGCCACGAAGGGCAGCGAGAGGGCCACGAAGAGCGACAGCGGGGCCACTGAGGGCAGCAAAGGGGCCACGAAGGGCAGCGAGAGGGCCACGAAGGGCGACAGCGGGGCTACGAAGGGCATGCATATGGTTGCGAGGAAGTCCTAAGCGAGAACGCGGTTCTCCAATACATCGTGAGGACGCATCAGGCGGGAACCGCGATTCGGTGGTAAATTGCGAGGAAGTCCCAAGCGAGAGCGCGATTCTTCAATACATTGTAAGGAAGTATCATGCGGGAGCCGTTGTTGGCGCGGGCCGCGACGGGCGCGAACGAGTGGAGGCGCCGGAGGGCATACGTATAGGGGGGGAGGCCGCAGAGGGCAGCGACGGGGCCGCTGAGGGCAGACACGGGGCCACGAAGGGCAGCGAGGGGGCCACGAAGAGCGACAGCGGGGCCACGAAGGGCATGCATACAGGGCCACGACGGGCGCGAACGAGTGGGGGCCACGAAGGGCATGCATATATGGGGCCAGAAGGGGCGACAGCGGGGCCACTGAGCGCAGACAGTGGGCCACGAAGGGCAGCGAGGGGGCCACGAATGGCGACAGCGGGGCGACGAAACGCATGCGCGTGAGACCACGAAGGGCGCGAGTGAGCGGGGGCCACGGAGGGCAATTAATCGGGGGCCACAGAGGGCATTGACGGGGCCGCTGAGGGCAGATGGGCGTTGACGGGGCCACGAAGGGCATTCATATATGTGGCCATAAAGGGCGATAGCGGGGCGACTGAGGGCAGCACAGGGGCCACGAAGGGCAGCGAGAGGGCCACGAAGGGCGACAGCGGGGTCACGAAGGGCATGCGCATGGGGCCATGACGGGCGACTGCGAGCGGGGGCCACGAAGGGCATATCATGCGGGGCCACACTGGGCAGCGACGTGGCCACTGAGGGCAGCAACGGGGCCACGAAGGGCAGCGAGCGAAGGCGACCGCGGAACCAACACGGGCAGCGAGGGGCATCGAAGCGGGCGAAGGGCAGCGAGCGGCGACTGCAGTCCCTAACGGGTTGGTCGGGCGGGCAGGCCCAGGCAGGCGGGTCGAGCGGGCGGGTCGTTGAAGCGTAAATTTTGCTTGAACCGCCAGGCAATATGTAGCGGGAGCGCGATTCTTGAGTGTCGAAGAGCGGCATCTGAATACATTGTAAGGAAGTATCAGGCGGGAACCGCGATTCGGTTGCAAGTTGCGAGGAACTCCCAAGCGAGAGCGCGATTTTTCAATAAATTGTAAGGAAGTGTCAAGCGGGAGCAGCGATCCGGTGGTAAATTGCAAGGAAGTCCCCAGCGAGAGCGCGACTCTTCAATGAATTGTGAGGAAGTATCAGGCGGGAGCCGTTGTTGTTGTAAACCGGGGGCCAACAACACAGTTTTATCTTCAAGATTTTCTTTGATAAAACAGAGTGCGAGCCCCGGGAAGGGCACTTCAATCGAAAAAACAATGTGCACCGGACGGGAGGACAACAATAATTGTTCTTCAGAAGTGAGAGTTCTACAACAACAGCAACAACAACAACGACGACAACACCAGCAGCAACAACAACTATAACGACAACAACAACTATAACGACAACAACAACATCAACATCAACAACAACAATCATGCCACCCTCATGCGGGATGCTTCCACACGAAGCATGCGACCATCATGATAACCACCCCATCATGGGGGACTCCTGTTCTATAGCGGGGTCCGTTATTCCCATTCCCGGATCTCCCGCCCAATGAGGTCTTGCAAACACCTCCTCCGAGGAATTTCAACACATCCCGCCTCAAAAACGCATGCCCGCGC